CCAATCAAAGTCTCTCCCCTTCACCTATCCCCAAGTTGTTTTATTTAAGCAGGTTGTAATTATCTTTCTATTGGCCAGATGTCATGTTGCCTGAAGTCTCTGTAGCACGAACAGCTGATTGGTCACGTCACTTCAAGGTTTGCTGCATCAGAACGCGTTTGGGAAAAGTGTTTTCATCTCCTGCAAAGCCCATGAAATCTTTATCAAAAAAGTGAAAATGAAAATATAAATTTCTTTTCATTTCCATGAAACTTTTCAATCACATTGATTAAAATGTGCTTAAAAATAAGATATGGAAAAACAGCTGGTGATGCTTGTACTGGCATTCCTGCACAAAACACTGGCAAGGTTTGCAGTGATGGCAGAACACAGAGTCAGGGGCAGTGAGGGGACATCCATCCATCCATCCATCCATCCATCCATCCATCCATCCATCCATCCATCCATCCATCCATCCATCCATCAACTACACATGGTTCATCCTGCAAAGGGTCGAAGGGGGTCGCCTATCAGTTTATTGCAGGACCAACACAAAGAGACAAACTGTGGACATTCACATGCAAATCTACAGCCAATGTACACTCACCAGTTAGATTGCCATGCATGTCGTTGGACATTTGGAGGAACCACCAGGAGAAAACCCAGGCAGGCACAGAGAGAACATGCAAACTCCACACAGAAAGGCTCTGACACTCAGATGCATCACCCAGAACCGACCACGTTCAACACTGTGCCACCCCAGACATTAAACAGCACCCATGTTGTTACAGATGACAGTCAGTTGGCAAGTTTCACTTATAGTTACCATGGACACTTAGATCTTAGGAGTTTAGGGCTAACTTTGTTCTTGTGACACTGCCTGACTTAGATTAGACTAGACCAAGGGAAAACTGTAGATTGGTTTGACACTAAAAACATCTCTAATGTGTTTGAGCACAATTGTTTCCTCGTGTTGCTCTCCCAGTACATTGGGGGAAAAACAGGCTTAATGAGAGCTGACCACCAGGCCTTTGATTCTCCAATTCCTTCATTGTATTTACTCACTGTGCAACGTTTTAACTGCGACGTCAAACAGAGTAACTGTCTCTCCTGCCAGGCAACCTGCTTGTTGTCTGGTGTTTTCTTTGTTTTGTTAAATTCTCTTCCATATGGCATTACTTGGTTTGGCATTCATCATTACCAGGGCATGGCAGTTTTCAAGGACTTAAGAGTCAACTGATGCCACAACCAGGCTGAGAAAAGCCATGCTGGGCTGAGGCTTCACAACATCAGCCTCTTTTGTATTTGGAGCTAATTTTCCATTGAATGCTGAGATCCCTTCTCAAAATGTGTGCATTCCAGATGCAGCAAGACAAGTGTGGGGATTATTACACTGTGGTGTTATTTGGACCTTGAGAGCTATTAGCTGTGGTTAAGGCTTTAGCTGGATATATGTTTTGTTTAAACTTCAGGGAACAGGATGGAAGACATATGGAAAGATGGGCGGGACATAATTAAGATGCAGCGTCTGGGGTACAAAGCTTCATGCTCGACTACAGTGTTCTGTTGAGGTTGCCAATGAAAACATTGACAAGCTGAAGAGATATGTTTTGAAATAGATCTTTTCTTTCTTGTGAAAACTATAACTGACTCCTTCTGTCTGAAATATGTTCTGAGCTCCATTTGTTAACCTGCTTCAGGAATGATTGATGGAATCAAATTGTTGTTCAAAATCATAAAGCCATCCACACACACATCATTTGATTTCCTGGACTGCATACATTCCTCTTACAGAGAAGAGCAATAAACCCTTTGGGGTAAACCAAAGAGCTCGCAAGAGCATCATAGTTCTGACCAGTGAATGAATGAATAGGTCAAAGTCAGTGCTACTAATGTGAGTTCTAGCAAAACAAGTCCATCCATTCAAGAAAACATCTTTTGGGGTTTCCTTTTGTCTATTGTTAAGAGCCTCAGAAGAACTTTCTCACATTTAATGATGATGTGAGGCTCATAACAGGTGGTGCAGGTGTGAAATGAGTTCAAGTCTGTGACAATCATTTTGTCTACGAGTTAAAAAATGTCCTCCTGACTTTGCAGTAAAGTCATTACAGACACGTTAAGTGCTTATTGGACCAACACGAGCTGCCTCAAGAGTTTTACATTTCTGGGAATTTCTTGTGGAAAGCAGAGCAGAGCAACAGAGCTGATTGAGTGTGAGCTGGCCCTGTGGTACCATCATTATAATAATTTAGTTGGAATCAGGCCTTCAAGCCAAAGGACTTCCTTCACTACTCTTTGTCATCCCTGCTATCAGTGATAAATTAAACAACGTCCTGCTAAACATACATGATTCCCAACATCTCTTCCAACTGGTGTCCCCTATGAAGCACCAAAGTCATGAGTTCACGGACCACAGTCACAACTTCATTAACTGACTGCTCACACACTGATCAGCTACTCCCCAGGCCTGTTTGCTCATTTTTGACTTCTGAGATGAAATCCCACTGGGATGATTGCTTTAGTTCTTGCTTCTACTCTGAAGCACGCATATTTGTTAAAATCATATCCCTCTCAAATATACACCAGAGTGCACTTTAGGACAGTGCTGGAAACTCAGACGGATGTTAGGGTTGAACTAGTGTCACCCATCCAGAAAAATCAAGTCAGATATGATATATGTGCTTTGAGAAGGAGCGATTCTCCAACCTGAAACATCTGGAACCTAGACAATGAAAGATAGATGATGGAGCAGAAACAGAGATGTTATTGACTCACCTCAGATAGGGGAATGATAGGAGACACATAGAATCTGATTGATGATTAACATTCTGCCCTTGTGTTCATTGAAAGCTATGATCTGGTGAACTTTGATACACTGAGACCAACTGTAGGATATCTCTGAACATTTACTATTTCTCCTTTAAACAGGGCATTATCACTGGAAAGCTGTGTTCTAAAATTGCATTTCAGACTCTACAGACTTTAAAGCTACACTGATGAATATGTTTACATTGATAACAGCCATGTCAGTGTAAAACGGGTCATGTTATGGTGTTATGAGCTGATTATTCCCCTCAAGTCCACGGTGCTTGTGCAGCTTCTTTCAGTTCACCGCTTTAATTTTCTGGACCACAAGCCTCGCTGTCTTGGTTCACTCTCAACACTATGACAGTAGTGTTTCTGGTCACAGCAGGCAGCCAAATACAAATGTTTCTCTGTGTCTTACAAGTATTTATTGATGTTTAATAAAGCTTTTCATTTGTCTGAGCCCTCTGAACTTCTCTGCAGTCATCACTGTTGCTGAACTAAAGACTGTCAGACTAATCACATCTCTTTCTCCCTTTAAATGTCTCCTTAAAACCCATGTTGTCGTTTTGAAATATAAAAATACTGCATTGTTGCTCATGGATTAAACAGGCAGGGCTTATTTATCGGCAAATAAAAATGACTTCTGACCAAGACAAAATGATTATTGCCGTCTTTTATTGGCACTGACAATTGGGATGAAAAAATCTAAGAAACACCATAGAACAACCAGACTGCAAGATGTTCAGGTTGTCTGTTGCCAGTTAGGGTTTAACAGTGCATTCTACAGAGGCTTGGACATAAAAGAAAAACAGAGATCAAAGGGTCTCTAACAATTTCTTCCTCAGAGAGTCAGCCAGATACAGTAACCCTGAACTCAAACACTGATCTGAAAGTAGATGGTGGCGAAACTACGAATCACGGCTTCTTTATTCCTGTTCAGACTTGAGTTGGACTCGCTTGCTGTCCGTCTTTGTTGATGACTGACTTCACCTCTCGATGCAGCCATTACAGTGTGGAAAACTGCGTTAGGTCATGATTTGTTTGTATTATCACATTGTTAGATCAACAAAATGCGGATTAAATATCACGAAGAGTTTATATTGTCAGATGCTCGGAAAGTCTGA